AAAAAGTCAAACATTAATGGCGCACTGCATAACATTTTTAGTGGAGGGTCTGCCATCTGCTTGTCTTCATGGAAACGTTATTGCCGTATCTAGAATGTTCCACAGTACAGATTAGACACACTGTATGTATCACTAGACATGCAACAGCACTATGGTATTTTACAAATCAGATCTGTGGAGAGTCACCCCTATTCACAGAAGGAATTAGCGGTAACTATTGGGTGTAATGGTACATGTTTTCGTGCTGAACTGTTTTGGTACGGGGCGTTTTGTTCGGTGCGAGGTTGTGCACGAGTGAGTTCGCGCAATTTGTGTGTATTTACATTCCGCCACTACATGTGCAGCTACACGGAAGGCTCGGCTTTTTAATATTCACGATTTAACTCATCCGTGATTGGGGTGGCAGTGTTTCCCGCAGCGCTTTATAGTTAGGGCGGCCACTTTGACGACAATTGGCCCCCGACTTGACTACGTCCCTCCGACCCACGTAAATCCTCGTAAAACTACGGTCGTCGTGCTCCGGTCCTCACTTTTGCTTTTCGCCGGCACAAAATTTCCGCACCCCGCCCTCCTCATACCCCTCATATCCGCGATCTCTGTCAAAAGCAAAAGGGTATTTTCAACCACTGGGGACATTGTAACAGCAGCAGATCAGCACTTACTGCAGACAATGTGGACAAGTTGGTTTTTCTGGCCAAAAATATGAAGACTAAGTAAAATTCCATGCTGGAATTGTTAGTGCAGTGCTTTACTTTTTGACAAGTTTTGTTTACTGTTTACAATGAATTAATTTTTTATAATATTTCAAACATTTGTTGCTTATTTGAGAATACTTTATTTACAGTAACTTATTCGTATTACCAAGCAGCACTTTGCATTTATTTTATTTTCTCATTTGTATGAACCTCAAAACCATGATTTTGGTGTACAGTTACATCCCTACTAACTATATATGTTTAATCTCATACCATGGAACATTCCGGGCAGAGCAACAACATCTCCATGGAGACAAGCAGGTGCCCTCTGCCAGAAAAGTTATACAGTGCACCTTTCATTTTTTTGTAAGAGTTGCAATCAGTTAAACATGTAAACGCACCATGTAAAATGAAAATTGACTACCAAACTCACCACCTGTCCACTGTTATACAACTGACACATTCATACATTAAGGTGAAATGCCTTGCTCGAGGACACAACAATTTGCATCGCAGGTAGCAGGAATTAAACCAGTATTCTTTTAAATGGGGCAGCAGTAGCATTTGTCCACTGATCTGAAGGTTTGCGGTTCAAATCTCGATCTTGACACAAACATAATTGACTGAATGTTCAGATCTAGTGACTCACAGGTTGGTAGTGTGATTCCAGCTCCCACAGATGAATACTGTCGTTGTGTCCTTGGGCAAGACACTTAACCCACCTCACCCCCATTGTCTGTGTAAATGAGTGTGTGGTTTCTTGTTGTAAAGGGCTCTGAGTAAAAATATGACCATTTGCCATTACCAAAATCTATTTAATCACATCGTGGTTCAGAATTAATGATCCAAAACCTCAGCCACGGTGTGATTAAATAGATTTTGATATATCATAATGATTTTTGTGACACCTTTTTAAAATCACATACCAAATTAGTATATTTTTCATTCCCAAAACTTTATTTTTGTTTTGTTTTGTTGCTTAGTTTAAAAAGTTTTGACAAAACACAGCTGAACCTTTCTCATCTTGTTCTTATTTTTATAAATGCATGCAGCGGTTTTACAAAAATAGATCTGTTTCTTCCATAATAGTTTTTTATCCTAGATTTTCATGTATAACACACCCATTGTCACCATATTGCAAAATTATCTGCACCGTGCGCTGTGTTTCCTGTCATTCCCAACTTCTGTTTGTACCAGCCAGGCCACCGCTTCCACCATAGCACCATATTCAATGTTGGGAAAGTTACTTTTAAAATGTATTCCCCTACAGATTACAGATTACATACCCCAAAATGTAGTTTGTAACAGAATCCATTCAGTTATTTAAGATGAGTAACGTAATCTGAATACTTTGGATTACTTGATTTGCTGTAGAGAAGCAAAGTTGAGGAAATCGTAACATATCTTATGTTACGATTTCCTCGTTTTGAAAGAAAATAAAAAGCCCAGACATTACTGAACCAAATTAAAAATATTATTGATAGAAGAAGAGGAGACACGTCCACACAGCATGATTTAGTCCTGTTAAATCCTGTTTTAGACCTGTTTTAGTCCTGTTTTAGACCTGTTTTAGACCTGTTTTAGACCTGTTTTAGACCTGTTTTAGTCCTGTTTTAGACCTGTTTTAGTCCTGTTTTAGACCTGGTTTAGACCTGGTTTTAGACCTGTTTTAGATCTAGTTTAGTCCTGGTTTAGTCCTGGTTTAGACCTGGTTAAGATCTAGTTTAGTCCTGGTTTAGTTTCTGGCAATGAGTGGAATTTCAAAAAAAAAAAAAAAAAAAAAAAAAAAAGGGTAGGGGGGGATATAGCCCAAAATGCGAAAACAGGAATACAGGAAAATACCACCGTGTAATCCATTTATTTCAACAAAGTAACTGTAATCCAATTACCACTCACTGAAACAGTAACTGTAACCGAATACAGTTACTCATATACTGTACTCTGATTACATACATTTTAGATTACATGTAATCTGTTACTCCCCAACACTGACCATATTGGATTTAGCTCACTTTTCCAGGCGGTGAGAACACATTTACAACTTTCAATCACCCCCAGCGATTGTTTTAACTCCCAAACCACACAACAGCGGGCCCCAGCTGTAGACTCCCCGTAACAACAACACAAGCAATTGGCCCCCGTTAGCTTCCACACATGCCGCGACGCTCTAGACGTGATTATCTTACGTCGTGCCACAAGCCTGCCCACTTTCCCCCTCCTTCTTTCTTTCTTTCTTTCTTTCATCCATCTCTCCTCCTTTCCTTTCCTTTCCTTTCCTCTCTGCACCTTACCTACTCCATCAGCACACACAAACGCACACACAGTACACAATTATTAATGAAGAGAAACAAGGCAGCCAGGAAACACGACTGGAGACGTGTTCATTTGCGCGTACAGTTGCCGTATGGATGGGGCCGTGCTAATTGAAATAGATTGCATTAGATGAGGTGGCATCAAAGTTTAATGGCCCCGGAGGAAAACAAGGCAGGATGACATGGTAGTAAAAGAAGGAACAGAGAGATCAAAGTGGTGCGGGTGAAAAGGTGGAAGTGCATGGGAAAATGCAGTCAAGCTCTCGCCGCGCAGCAAGAAGGTGCACGGTTTGGTTCTTGAGTGGGAGGACTTTTTGGTAGTGAGTTTGCGTGTTTTCTTTGTGTTTGGGTGTGTCTTAGTTGTAATTAACCCAAATTATGTCCAGTAAGTTAGTCTTTTAGTTAGGTAGTTCTGGATCAAAAAACAAGGTCTCAAGGACAGGTTAAAAATCGACAGATCATTCGTTCATTTTCAAAATAAAACCAAAATAAGAAAATAAAAAAATATATATATATTTTTTCTTCATTGTTTATCTCTAAAACTATACCAGGACTGATCCCAGGACTGAACCAGGAGGACTAAACCAGGACTGAACTAGGACTGAACTAGGATTTATCCCAGGACTGAACCAGGAGGACTAAACCAGGAATGAAACTCGGACTAAAACAGGACTAAAATGGGACTAACCCAGGACTAAACCAGGAATGAGTAGACTGTCGGGTAATTGCAGGCTCGGGGTCCAGTTTCTCTTTTTCTCAAGTTAAAGATTATCCTGGTTTAGTCCTAGTTTAGACCTGGTTTAGTCCTTGTTTAGTCCTGGTTTAGACCTGGCTTAGTGGTTTAGTCCTCCTGGTTCAGTCCTAGGATGAATCCTGGTTCGGTCCTCCTGGTTTAGTCCTGGTTCAGTTCTGGTTTAGTCCAGGAAACCGTTTTTTTTTTTTTTTCATTATTCATTTTAACACAAAATCGAAAACTGAAAAAAATTTATCATTATCTGTTTTGTAATGTTGGTTTTGGAGATAAATAATGAAAATCGAATGATACACATATTGTTAAAGATGCACACTGTAAGTTTTTGGCTGGGGGTCTGTCACCTGCTTGTTTTTATGGATATGCCATTACACTGCCTGGAATGTTCCACACTATGACATTAAAACAGTTCTACTTTACATTTATTCAATTTCAGGTGGTTTTATAGCTCAAAAATACCTAGAAAATCAGGCATTCTGACTGTGAGCGGGGTCGCCTCTCCACAGATCTGACCTATAACTTGGTTTGGTTAGGTTTGGTCTTCATGAAGATAGAAAGCTTTAATGCCATACTGTGAAACTTTCCAGACAAAGCAATAACATCTCCATGAAGAAAAGCATTTGACAGACTTATCACCAGAAAAGTTACATAATGCACTTTTAAATTTACAAAATAAACACAAAAAGGGTTTTGGCATTTTTGTTTCAGTAATTTCGAAAAAGCTGGGTATTCACAAAAATGCACAATGAAAGAACTGAGACTTAACCATGCACACAAGTTTTTTTTATCCTTATTTACACTGCATTGGATCAAAAATATGGATTCTATGTATAGATTTTTTGTCATTTGTTACGACATTTTGACAGTCTGTTTTATTTTTATTTTTTTACAACTGTTAATTTTTAGTTGCATTCCTAAACCCAGTCCTGCATTTTACTCAACACCGTACAGTTAAGTTTTAAAAAAAGTATACTAACAAAATATTCTTGGTTTCTTTCTTTTACTTCCACCCTTTCTTGGACAAGCTGAAAACTTCTACATCACAAAGTTTTTATAGTCATGCCAGTTTGTACCACTAGATGGAGTCATGAGCAGACTAACAATGAGCTTTTCCTCGCAAAACAAAAGCAAAACTTGATAACATTTAACCACTAAAAAACATAAATAAATAGTGCACCGTGATAAAAACGCAATGCTTACAACTGTTCCCCATTTTTCATAGTGCGTGAGTGATTATCCTACCTGACAGACATGGAAAATTCCCCAGGGGCACTTTCGCTTTCCCGAACCAAAAAGGCTCCGCACTCCCTGTGTCTGAGCCTGCTTTCTGCCACACCACGAGATATCCGCCCGGCGAACCAGCTGGGGGTACAGAGACAGAGAAGACAGGGAGAAGATTAGTGCCGGTGAGGTGTAGATAAAGTTCAAAACGCACACATGCTGACAAAACAAAACATGAAACGTATGGTATGTAAAGTAGGTACGTTATTGGGTGTATTTTTAGCTGTGCTTCTGAATGCGTGCTCTAACAGAATGTTCTAACAGAAGCAGAAAAGTAATGCTGTCATAGTTTCATTTTTGGCTAATTACCCTTGCAACAGCTAAATGGTAAATTGTTACTTTTTTATATAGCACATTTCCTATTTCAAGCGCTTTACATCAAGAAACCACTCACTAGGGCTGCTCAATTATGGAAAAAAATCATTATTGCGATTATTTTGGTCAGTAGTTACACGAGTATTTATTCAGTTATAGCGTTGTTATAGGCGAGTTTCAGCTGACGTCATTGTTATTAAAAGCCCGCGTTGCATGCTGGGAAATATTTTGGTCGGAGGCAAGAAACACGATAGCGGTCAAACACAGTGCGTAACCTCGTGTATTTATCCCCATTAATGGTAAATTCCTGCTGCATTTTCGGATGCACAAATAGAAGCACGGAAGAAGGAAAATGTCTTTTTCGTGTTCTGAGTGAAAAGAACCGCTAACGGTGAATAAAACGGCTTTCAAACATTCGCAGAGCAAACGTAGAAGATCCTTGCAAACCGTGGACTCTAACAAGTTCAACAACACATCAAGACTCTTGGAGGTTTTCATCTTTTCTGCTGTGAATGGCCCAGGAGTTTCCACCAAGTCATTGTGGATATCGCCGAAGTGAATATTTGTCCAGGTAGTTGGCGATTCTGACCAGAAATTTGGTTTGGTCCACCTTTTGTAGGGGTTGAAAAGGGTGACTTTGGCGTCCATCGATGCTTATGACCAATTTCTGGTCAAATCGCCTTCGGTCCTCTGCCGTTAGAGTGGATAAATAACCGGGATCAATACCCTTTACGTGCTTTCTCGCTCCGTCCATCATGTTGAAAGAATTCCCAGCATGCAACGCGAGCTTTTGTCAACAATGAAACTCACCTATTGATAAGTTACACAAAACTTTCACATTAAATTCCACCTTGTGATGTCATCTGGTAGTGTTTTTAAACTCCATACACCTTCACTAGAATCATTTGGACAATTTCATCTCTAGAATTGCCACCTCTACTGAACAAACGGTAAGAGGAACCTGATAACTTGAAAACCACTGCTTCATGACATCTCAAGGTGGGACAGAGCATCCTGAGTTTGGGAGACGTAGACAGACAAATAATGCAGCATTACTCAAACATGTGTGAATGAAACAAAACACAACTCCAGGTATGTTTTTGATGGGGTAACAGCATTTTAACATGACTAAAGGTTCACGAGCCAATTTTTCATAATATTAGCATGATTCATCTACCATCTGATCTTGCAGGATAAGGATTCATTCGCTTGACTGTAGGCGGGTACTTTTTTATTTAACCAATCGCTGCTGTTTGGTCGTGATGTACATAATGCTCCAAATCTCATAGGAAGAAGGGCAATAATGTCCTTCCCCTTGATAAAATTCACCAAACATTCCCTTTGTTCCAGCTTTAAATCCTTGATCTCGGGAATCGTTGCCAACACAGAATATCTGTCTTCATCTACATTCATTTCGACCGCTTTGTTTATTGTTGTGCTGTACCACAAAAGGGACCCAGACAGGCGCTTGAGTTTGACATCATGGCTTCACAGCTCTTCACTGATTGGCCGGTGTGCAGTCTACAACTTCCGGGGTTCTTGCAAGTCATCTAGTGTATTTAGATTCCTGACCTAGTCGCTGGAGAGAAATGAGATTAAGCGGAGGCACTAGGTGGCACCAGCCAGGCTAGTATAATATAGGACCTTTAAACATTTTTTATGAATCATCTTGCACATAACTACATTAACTCAGAAGACATAGCATCTTAGATACATGGAACATTGTGTTATTTTTTCCATTTATCTAACTGGCACACTGCTCATTTTCATCACTCCATCATCTGTTCCATTCTGTAATAGACTAAAGTACATCAGACATGTGCAGATCTACTACAAACCTCTCCTCCCAGCAGAGGACACACATGGACTTTCTCCCTGGAGTCTGCGACTACCTCAAACGAACTACACAGACAGGACCATCCCTATCACCATTACTTTCTATTACTGCAGTAAAAAGACAGTCTAATATCGCATTGCCAGATTGCTGTTTATCACAATGGGGGGAGACTAGAGCCCAGCTGGTGCAAATGAGCATCTGACAGAGACGTGGGGTGCACCAGCTAAAATCACATGACAACAACATACATACACACACACACATGGCTTTATTGTGTGGCGTTATGTAAGCCAGTGAGTGTACGTCCCTATGGGGGGGGGCCCTTATGCCAGAGTGCAGATGTCCAGAGCCTAATGAACTAAAGATCCCCCTAGCACCGTGGACGGGCTGTTTGAATGTGTGAAATTTCTGGATTTTAATTGTATAGCTTTGAAGACGTAATATCTGATAATGAGAGATTTTAAAGGCCCCATATTACGCGATTTTCTGAACTATTTTGTAATGTTGTTTCCTCATCAAAAGACAAACCTGGAGTTTTGTTTAACTGACACATGGTTAACACACAAATCCTGCACATGTAGGCCGAGTTCTTGTCTCAAACAGAAAACGCTTTATTCCACCTTGAGGTCTTGTTCAAGTGTGTTTTTGTTGTGTTTTTAAACTCCATACACCTTCACTAGAATCATTTCGACCATTTCGGCCTTGGATTTGCCTATCTCTCTACTATGGATCTATAATAAAAACTGGATAAAGCACTCCCCCTCTGTCCTGACTCGAGACTGACTAGTGGTCGCTCCAGGTACTGCAGCTCCCGGGAGCTTGGGCCACGGGTCTGTTAAAATAACTGGATAGGGTGTTGCTGCTTGTATTTTCCTCCAGTTGACGTAGTGGTCACTCACTGGTACTACAGCGGAAAAAAAACCCTGGGTTGAGACAAGATTTTTCTCGTAGAGCGCAATGTAATCACAAACTACTCCTGTTCGGCTTACAGGGACCTACAACTTTCAAAAATGTTGGATTTTGTGGCGATTTTTACCTATTTTTAAATCATAAACTTTTTCTCAGTTCAAAATCCTTCAGTTGTATTAAAAAAAACACTTTGTAATCGTTAGTTTCGGCTCTCTCCCTCTGATTGGTCAAAGCGATCACGTTATACACGAGACCGTGCTCTGTGCGCGCGTTCACGTGCGTTCGCGTGTGCCTGCAGGAGAAAAGAGCACTACTGCACAGGCTCTGTCAGCCCACAGCCACCAGAAGTACCTGACCGGGCTAAAGGCGAATCTGGAATCATGCACCATTGAGCTCGGCCCATTGACTTGAATGGGCGGCCATTTTGAAACTCCGGGGCTTGGCTTGGGCCCAGGAAGAATTCTCCCATAGAAGCACAATGCAATTTCTGTGAATTTCTGTTCGGCTGACAGGGCATCGACAACTTTCACAAAAGTTGGATTTTGTGAAAGTTGTCCCACTTTGAGGCCGCGCTAGCTCCACTCTAGCAGCTCTCGCTCTGATTGGTCCAAACGCTCCACGCTGCGCATGTTAGCCCCTGTTGATGAAGTAAATGCAGAAGTGAAACATTTTTGTGGGTCCATGCGCTATTGAGCATAGGCCACTGAAAATAATACGACGCCATCTTGGATTCATCTTCCAGATTTTATAATAGTTCTATGATCTCTACTGAATAAAAGGTAAAATGGAAGGTGTTAACTTGAAAAGTAGCGCTTCATGACGTCACAAGGAGAATTTTGAGGAGATGTAGATAGACAAATAATATAACGTTGCTTAAAAATGTGAGCATGAAACAAAAAACACAACTGCCGGTATGTTTTTGATGATGTATGACTTAAAGCTCACAAGAGTCAATTTTGCGTAAATTAAAAATTCAGTCCTCAGTGCACATTTTAGAGAATTTGAGAAGACACTGAAATAATAACTGTTGAGGTAATACAAGATGCATTTCAGAACATGTTTGTGAAGATCTAAATTACTGGATTAGCAGGTTCTATACATAAAAAGACCCAATACATATCTTAATACGCTTGTGTAATACTGCTGTCACATTTCAGGGTTAATTAAATATCTCTTCATGTTGGCAGCTCTGAAATAAAGCAACGGTTTGTGGTTTGTGTAGATGGCTGACAGTGATTCAAGTGGTAAAGTTTTGCCTTACATACATATAAGGTTTGACTTGAGTCCACGGGCAAGACATTTCACCAACCTCACCTAAGTATGATGTGTGTGTGTGTGTGGTGGTCTGAAAACTTCCTAGAACAAAATGGATTGAGGGGAGTGAATGGAAAATGTAACGTTAAGCCACTTTGTATGTCCAGAGAATTGCTGTCAGCATTATATATACAGACTGCGTCCAAATGTCGACACTATTCCCTATAGGGCACAAATAGAGGTCACGCCATTTTAGTGACGTCTGAATGACCAGCAGGTGAAAGGCTAATGCATTGAAAATTTCCCACAAAACATCTTGAAAAGCTATTGTACTTGACCGAACAATGTAGACCTAGCCGTCTGCTCAAACATACTTTCTCCCACTTACTTCTCTTAGGCTACGTTCAGACTGCAGCTTGAACTGACCCAAATCTGATTTTTTTGCCCTATACGACCTTTATCTGATCTTTTAATGACACAGATCCGATTTTTTCAAATGCAACCCAGGACACTTGGATATGTGCTCCTAAAACCGATACATATCTGATCTTTTGACATGCGACTTCAGTCTGAACGGTCAGGTCGCATTCATCCCACCTACACGTCAGGCTCGGAGTCTCGTCAATGGAGGGAAAGCGAGATTAGTGAGTTAATTAATATTTAGGGGGATCGCTGTATTCAGGCCAAATTGGAGGGGTCTTATCGGAACCGGGCTGTTTTTGAAATGATTGCCAAAGAAATGGCTGAGCGCGGCTACTGGCAGTCCTGGCTTTAATGTCAACAAAAAATAAAGCACCTGCAAGCCAAATACAAGGACTCAAACAAACGAAGCGGCCGTGGATATGTAACCTGTGTCCATTTTATGAAGAACTGGACTGTATTTTTGGGAGAGAAGCCCAGCATTTAGGCGACTTCTGTGAACACTGGAGCACACTCCATTGAGCCTGCGGGACACTTTTGGGGCATTTAAAGTTCACACCGAAGATCACAAGTCGCCTTTAATCGGAAATGTGACTGACCTCGCGGAAAAATCTGATTTCACAAAAAATCTGAATTGAGCATTAAGCCCTGCAGTCTGAATGTAACCTTATTGGTTAGTTTTTGTAATGCTTTGAGCAAGTGACAGCTGGATTTAACCAATCACAGTGAAAATTAAACTTTCAGAAGACGTTCCCCCCAAAGGCACGAATAGAAAACGATTAAAGGTCATATAAAGAACAGATATTTTATGACTTGGTTTCCTTATTATGCAAAACTGACTCATGTGAGCATTAAGCCATGTAAAAATGTTGTTATCTCCTTAAAAACAGACCTAATCCTTTTTTATTCTCAGCATCTCCAAAGGTCAAAATGCTCCACCTTGTGATGCTATGAAGCTGTAGTTTTCTAGTTAACGGCTACATTTTACATTTTGTTCTTTAGACGTTGGCAATTCCAGGGCTGAAATCATCCAAATGATTCTAGTGGAGGATTTTGGAGTTTAAAAACATAGTGAAGCTCTTCTTTTATTACCATATGACATTACAAGGTGGAACAGAGTGTTTGAGAGAAGAATTCAGCCTCAGGATTTGCATGTTAAAAATGTGTGAATGAAACAAAACATTCTGGTATGTTTTTTGATAAAGAAACAATACAACATGGATCAAAAAAGAGTATAATATAAGCCCTTTATTGCCGCGTTTTATTGAATGTCGGTAGTCGATAAATCCAAGTCAGTTCTCTCGACATCCATTGTAATTGTGTTCCATTGCAACAGTTGAGGAAAATATGGACGCCCGAGAAAGTTCAACGTAAATCGAGTCCATTCTGGCAGTTTGACTATTACATGTTCAGAAAAAAAAACTTCTGTCTATTGTCAAATGATGTGAAAGAAAGTCTAAATATCATTACAAAGTTTTTAGAAGACACTTTCTCTACTCATACACAACTTAACATATTAAAATGACGAAAAGACAATTCTCCCCGTTTAATGTGTGCGCCGACATTTTTCCTGTGACTTAAATCTGTAAATTCAAAATCGACTCAGTTTGCACAGAACTAGCCCAAGTTTATGTTTCGGACCTTCGATTTGATTGGCTGTTCCATTGCATTTTCTCGAGGTGGTCCCGAGTGCAATATAATGCAGCGTAATTGTACATGAATCGTGATCAAATTGAAAACGTCACCTGGCTCCAAGAATATTGTGATATTATGGTATTAGGTTCTTTTTTCCAGACCAAGCGTTTGTTTTCATACCTGACAGTTTCGACTGCTCAGTAGTGGTCTTCCTCAGAGTCATGTGATGTTGCTGTGACATGTCCGATGAGCTGATTTAAACAGGTTTTGGTGCTGTCGTCCTACAGGTGGAGGCAGGACAACAGCGCCATCTCCACCTGTATAAATCAACTGACCAGACACGTCACAGCAACATCACGTGACTCTGAGGAAGACCACTAGTGAGCAGTCGAAACTATCAGGTATGAAAACAAACTCTTGGTCTGAAAAAAGAACCTAATAACATAAAATATCGGAAGACCAAATGAACCTCATTGGACTATATTGTGATATTATCGGAAGACATGTGATATTTCTGTTCGTGTGTCTATACTTACGCATGTGGCCGTAGATTGATGTAGTTTTTCGGCACAAAACCCTTTCGGTTGTGGAGCTCTGCGGTGTACCAGTTGGGGTCATCCTCCATGTTGGTGATCTGGGGGTTAGAAAGAAACAGAGAGAGAGAGAGAGAGAATGAAATATGGCTCCTAATGACATAGACAGAGGCCATCGCCATTCATCGAACGAAAGGGCACGTTTCGACTATATATCTATCTCCGCGCCAAGCTGCTCATCTTCCATTATCCGCTACACTGGGTTTTCATCCTTCTTTCAGCGCACGGAGGTCCTCAAGTCATAGAGATTTCAACAAGCAGAGGATTACTGCCAAGTTGGAAAGGCCACATAAAGTCCTCCGTGATTACACACACAATTGCCAGCAAATCCGATGACGCCTGATCCACATTAACCCAGATAGCTCGTCCAAATGTCACTATTGGACGCTGAGGCAAGTAAAACAAACACATTTATGGTAACAAAACAATTTCCCAGATCTTAAGATTCATGGAGGATTAGCCTTTTGTACCGAGAAAACCCACCCAAACATGAGGACACAGACACGAAAGAGTACACAGGCAGATTAGATACTGTCCGCGAGTTGAACCAGGGACCTTCTTGCTGTTGCACTAACCATTTTGTACTACCTATATAATCACAAGCTTTATTATAGGTAGCTACTCATAGACCTTTTTCACAACAGCCGGAAGTGCCGCGATGTAGGGTAAATGTCACTTCTGGTTAATGCTTTTCTATGGCAAAATATCTGTGGAAATGTCTCGCTTATTTACCACCAGCTTCATAAATCTGCCCCATCACCAAATCTTCATCCAACAAGGTCGACAAAGGACATATTCTGTCCATGAAGAATTTATCCACAACTATCAAAGTAAGAAAGACGAAAACGGAAAGGTGAACAACGACGACGCATTAATGGTCCATTCACCCTGTGGTGTCAAAAAAAACACTGACGCCTCTATTTGGACGGCTTTGCGTTTGAGTTTAGATGCCCCCGACGCGCGTCTTGGATGCCGAGGACGAACGGGAGAAAAATACTTAATTTGCATCCGTTGCCCTGGAAACAAGTGCCCGGTCCCGGTCTTTTCCCGAAACGATGGCAGACCAGGCTGAGAAAGACTTTAGTTGCGCCGCACTGACAAGTTGCAAAAATGCAGGATGCCCTAGATGTACTGATGAAGCTGGTGGAAAATACACAAGTCATTTCCACAGATATTTTGCCATAGAAAAGCATTAACATAAGTGACTTCCGGCCGTTATGAAAAAGGTCTATTGGACAACTTGTAGCTTCTACAGTAGCTACTGCATGTTACCATATATTGCCTATTGAGTAAAATGTTTATATCTTTTTGTAGTAGTTGTAACTAGAAACCTTTTTTATACAGTTTTACAGTTCATATGTGTATTACTCAATTTAGTAAATTTAGAATAAGCTATATTCACCATAATGACTTTTATATTTTAACAAATATTTGCATTCATAAATGGTTTGCTATATAGATTCATTTTTATCCATATTTCATTTTCAGACCAATGAGTGCCAATTTTAAAAGCAATTTGTATTTCTTTTAAGATATACCGTATATTCTTGTCTAATCCTCCATGACACATTTTAATTTTAAGCCATTATATTTGCTTTGCTTGTATCATTTTTAGCAATCGTTTTTATCTCGCTGAAACATATACCAACCCAATATCTGTAACTGCTAACAGTAAAGTAAAAGCTACATTTAGCTTATCTTTTGAATGCGTGTCTGACAAAAGTTCTTTGGTTTGACTCTACCAAGGCATCCAGCGCTTCATTTCACGCACCAGCTGTTTTTACTCTGTGCCTTATAAATCTATTACTATGAAGAGTGCAGTCTATCAATCACTGTTGGGTAAAATACAGCTAGTCAGTCAATGGCAACCAGAAGTAATGAAACATTTGTCAACATTTGACATTGCTATACAAAGTTTGGAAACTTAGCGGACATAGTAGTTTTAACTTCTGCAGAATAATAAGTCAAATGGTTCTGTTTTTCACTTGGCAGAACAGTAGGTCCTTACTTTCACTTTGTCTAAGAATTTCACAGATAAAAATATATTTACTGAAAAATAAACTTCAGGAGCACTATATAAAGTTAATGTCATCTGTTACCTACTTGTCTCACTTGAAAAATATCCCTAAGTATGGCATTAAACTTGTCTATCTCCATGGAGACAAACTAGGCCAAGTTACATTCAATCCAATCCACTTTATTGCTATAGCACATTTCACAAACAAACAGTTTCCAAAGTTCTGCACAAATACATAATAACAACAACAATAATGTAATGATAAAATAAATGCTCATATTTAATCATACTAGTCTTAAATTAATAAAACCAGTAAAATAAAATAAGAGCAAAATCATAGAACAGCAATGAATAAATAAATAAAACCAATAAAATACATAAAAAATAATTCAAATAAGTAAAACATGGCAGGTCTGTGTAGAAGAACCCCTCCCCACACACACACACTAAGCATCATTTTTGTCAACATGGTATTTTCAGGTAGCCTGATTCATCAGCCGGTTTCACTTTGTAGAAACCGTCTGACCTCGCAGCATTAGGATTGGGAACCGTAGGCAGGTCCTTTTTTTGTACAGAAAGAACAAAAGTGTGGCTGTTTTCTGCAATTGTTCCAATCAGTGGGAGCAGGTAGAGGTTGCTCTTGGAAAAAGGATCAAAGCTCAAACAAAACAGGACTCCAGGCACTCCAAAGAAGTAAAAAAAAGTTTTTAAAAAATTGCACAAGGAAAATATAGTAAAAGGCCTTTATTTAAATGGCCAAAGCCAACATGTTTCGACCTTAACAGTCTTCATCAGAGCTTAAATAAGCCATTTAATTCTTGCTCTTCTTTGGAGTACCTGGAGTCCTGTTGTGTTTGAGGTACTTTTTTAATTTAACCAATCGCTGCTATTTGGTCATGACGTATGTAATGCGCCGCTAACGGAGCTAAATGGTATCTTAAGCTTTTCCCAAATCCCATAGGAAGAAGAGCAATAACATCTTTCCCCTTGATGAAAAATTAACCAAACATTCTCTTTGTTTCGGCTTTAAATCCTCAATCTCGGGAATCGTTGCCAACACAGAATGTATGGCTTCGTCTACATCCGTCTCAACCGCTTTGTTTACTGTTGTGCTGTACCACAAAAGGGACCCAGACAGGCGCTTCACAGCTCTTCGCTAATTGGCCAGTGTGTGAACTTCCAGGGTTCTTGCAAACCGTCTAGTGTATTCCGATTCCTGACCTAGTCACTGGAGAAAAATGAAATTGAGCAGAGGCACTAGGTGGCGCCAGCCTGACTAATTTTCAGGCACCTGAAGTTAAATAAATTCCATGGATCTATTAAAATAATTGGATAGGGTGTTGCTGCTTGTAGCTGCCTCCAGATGACATAGTGGCCACTCACTGGTACTACAGCGGAAAAAATCCCATGGGCTGAGACACGATTTTTCTCATAGAGTGAAATGTAATCACAAACTGCTCGTGTTCGGCTGACAGGGCACCTACAACTTTCAAAAATGACGGATTTTGTGGCGATTTTTACCTATTTTTAGATCATAAACTTTTTCTCAGCTCAAAATCCTTTAGTTGTCTTAAAAAACGCTTTATAATCTTTAGCTCCGGCTCTGCTCTAGCTCCTCTCACTCTGATTGGTCAAAGTGTTCACGTGATACACAGGACCTCGCCCCGTGTGTGCGTTTGCGTGCATTCGCATGTTCCTGCTGGAGAAAAGCGGCTCGGTCGGCCCACAGCCACCGGAAGTACCGAGCCGGGCTAAAGGCGAATCTGGGCTCATGCGCCATTGAGCTCGGCCCACTGACTTGAATGGGCGGCCATTTTGAAACCTTGATAAATTCTAGTTAGATTTGCCTGAAGCTACACTGTGGAACACTGGAGCGAAGCAAAAACAATTCCATTAAGACAAGCAAGTGACAGACCTTCCATCAGAAATATTACGCAGTGCACTTTTAAAGCAATGCTCTGGTTTTATGTTTATTCATTTCAATTCAATCTCAGCAGATGAAGCTTTTTATTTCTATTCACAACCTGTTACATGCTTATCTTCCTTTCACCATATTTATGCAATGCACTTTCTTTTCTTTACTTTTATACTATTCACCGCTTTATCTCCACCACAGCAGCAGAACCAGCTCCGTCCTCAGCCTCTCCTCCTCTTCACCACCACTAGAAGTTTCTGAGAGATATTTCCGTCCGTCATTACACTGCTAACCTTTCAACAACCTGTCACTGTCTAAGCGTCGAAATCTGTTCAACTTATTAAACTTATCACCTCACTCACTTTTCTTGAAATACGTCATCTCCTGTGTTTTCCTTGTTTGTCGTGTTCGGAGTGTGGTGTGAATGAAATGAATATTAATGATTTTTGCACCTCTTAGTCATCGTCAAGTCGGAAGAAAAGTTAGAAAATACAATAGAAGTTTGTCAGCTGTTAATTGTTTGACTACTTCCTGTGTTTCTGCCGTAGACTGTATAAAGAAGTGGACTAATGAAGTGTGGCGTCTCACGAGGCTGCCAGTTATGAGGCTTATAGACTGATTTAAAACGACTATTATATGTTTGATGTTTGAAGAGCATCTGTATAATGAATGTTAATCTGAATAAATTCACTTTTATTCATGCAAAGTTATTCTTTATGGTCTGAAGGATAAAAACATTTGAATTTGAATAGAACTTGTTTTGAAATTTAAGAAAATATAATCTCTTTTAGAGATCCAGCTTTTTTTGATCTGCTCTGATGTTTATACTTTAGCTTTAAGTATCTGCCAATACCTGATATAAACTGATACTAGGACAGAAACTGAAAATGTGATTTATTTCCTTTAAACACTTGAAAACAACTTTTGAAAACAGCAAAAAATAAATAAATAAATAAATAACACAAGTTCAATACACGCATCAAGAATCTCGGACTTCCAGTCATTGCGCAATGCATACTGGGAAGGATTTTCCGAAAAAGTGAGCATCAAACCGCCATGTTTGATTTTACAGTGGGATTCGTCTATTGACAAAGCTGATCTTTTCTAGT